TGGACTAGAAGACTCCAATGTTCCTCCCAAATCTGTTATTTTGTTCTGTTCTGTGGGAAGTTAACCCAGAGAAGGAAATATTAAAAAGGCAGAAAAAATATTGTTCACCAAAAGGATTTTTAAAAGCATTTTTTGAAAAGCAGAAACCAAACCTGGCGTCATCTCCTTGCCCAGGGCAGTAGCTGGTCTTATACATATGCAGATGTGGAACCATCAGGAAGTTTGGAGCCAGGGATCTCAAGACAAAAGAAGCTCTTAAGAGTCATTAGCCCCATCACCTGGGAAGCAGGATATGTTAATGGGATTAAACCACAGATATCAAGGCCTAGAAAAACACTCAGAAATAGCCTCAAAGTTCATGCCACAGGAACAGGAAACTTCCAGGCAGGGCTAGAGGGTATAAAAAGACCATCTGCCCATGTGCTCACTCTCTTTTCCTTCTCCTCTGCTGCTTATCTGTCTTCTGCAATAAACTGTAACCTTCTTCCCAAAGCAGTCGCCATGTTTGCTTATTTATTCCCGGCTTGGATGAACCAGGATGAAGACTTACTTCTAACAGTTCTTTGAGTTTGTATTCATTTTATCTTTGTTTTTAAATAAAATTATAAACACACAGACATATACATGCATGCATTAGTGATCCTTGGTGAAATCCAGCCATTGAGGCAAGAACAGAAAAAGCTGACGGCATAAGGACTGTCCTCTGTGTTCTTTTTGCTGGTGGGTATTTTAAAACATTGGAAAAACTGGGTTAAACTATGTTAATCATACCTTGAGGGTGTGACCAGGCTAACTTCTAAGGTTAGGGGGGGAAAAACTGAGGTTGCCCGGGTGTTACAAAGAAAAGAAAGGCTTGGTCATGGCTTTTTCAAACCCCATTCCCTGGAATTCTAGAGTCCCACAAAAATTGTTAACCTTAATCCCTATCCCGATCCTATTTTATCCCCTACCCTATAAAACTCGATAAAATCTTTTTTTAAAAAATTGTTGGGGCCCCATAATAGACTAAGAGAAAAGAAAAACAAAAGTTCCCTAAAATAAAGCCAAGGGCATCCTTTGTAATTTTTCAAAGATGCAATAGAAAGGGTAGGGTTTGTCAGTTATCACCAAAAAGCCCCAATCTCTCAGGGGAATTTGTCCTTGTGAAGATTCCTCGCTCTCTGTCTGAGAGACAGACGGGGCTCCAGGGATTTTCTTTGTACCTAACAAATTCCATAGCGTGAAAAATATGAAAATCCCTGGTTTGTGCTATGAGTTAGCAATGGCAGGTTGTTTTGTTGCAAGTTGGTTTTGAAATTGGTTTTATCCCATTCTCATTCTCATTCTCNTCTCTCTCTCTCTCTCTCTCTCTCTCTCTCTCTCTCTCTCTCTCTCTCTCTCTCTCTCCCTGTCCCTCCCTCCCTCTCTCCCTCCCTCCCACAATTGTGGGAGAAGATGCAGTGTTTTGCTTTATTGTTAAACATAGTAATTCTTGAACCTAGGCCATTGGCTTTAAAAGGTGGGATTTCATCCTGTTTTAATATTCAGGGGCAGTGTTTACTCATGCATCAATACAAAGAGCTCCTCTTCTCTGGAATCCTTAAGCACCCAGCTGGATTTGTTGCTCTTGTTATATTTGAATGATGCTGTGTCTTTTTTAAAAAAGTGTTGGCTTTGCACCAATAAATAAAAAAAGGAAGTGTACAACAAGCGGTTTCTCTGTTATCCATGTCTTCTCATCTATACTTTTCTGATGAAGGTATAAAATAGAGATTTTATGAAAATCAGGAAAAGTGGAAAAAAAGGAGAATCAAGATGATCAAAGAGGAGGAACTATGCACCTCTGAAGAAAAGTTAGCACTTATAAAGATGATTTATTTGAAGGGGGGGAAAATGACAGGGAAGGAGAGGGATATGTCCTGTAAAATGAAACATGATCCCAAAGAAGTTGATTTTCTTTTATACTTGACAGTTATGAGGTCCTTCTCCACTTGCACTTAAGTGTGGTCCATAAAATACACAGAAATCTTGTTTTTCCTGCTGTGTCCAGATGAGGCTACTGAAAAGAAGGACCAGGGATGACATGATAGCAGTGTTCCAATATCTGAGGGGATCACAGAGAGGAGGGGGTCAACCTATTTTCCAAAGCACCTGAAGGCCAGACAAGGAACAACGGATGGAAACTGATCAAGGAGAGATTCAACCTAGAAATAAGGAGAAATATTCTGACAGTGATAACAATCAACCAATGGAACAGTTTGCCTTCAGATGTTGTGGGTGCTTCATCACTGAAAGCTTTCAAGAAGAGACTGGACAGCCATCTGTCAGAAATAGCATAGGGTCCCCTGCTTAAGCAGGGGGTTGGACTAGATGACCTATAAGTTCCCTTCCAAGTCTGTTATTCTATTCTATCTGATCCCCGGTCCATGCCTCAATGATCTTTAACAATAGCTCTCAGAAATGCAGCTGTTGAGATAGATACCATGCTTTCCCACTCTGATGAGAACTGCTATGTCAGCAAAACCTGCTTCCCATGACTTTGAAGAGAAAAGCAAAATATCCATTGACTTGGAAAGGAAGGAAGGGGGAGAAAGCCTAGGATTTAAATCATGGAGCAAATGCACATATTCAACACACAGGTCTTTTAATTGAAGCCCAAGGTTTCATCTTATCTTCAGTAAAGCAATTACATATAAATGTGTTGTGCCAGTGAGCTTCTGCTGCCTGAAGGATTACGCGTTTGGTGAGTTAAGATTTGTTGCCATTCTGGCATGAAATTTGGCAGAGAATGGGTTAAATTACAATGACAGGGTTATTGCTTTGGGTACAACCAGGTACAGTGGTGCAGTTCTGTAATATCTAGGGCAGTGGTGGCGACCCTATGGCACAGGTGCCAGAGGCGGCACTCAGAGCCCTCTCTGTGGGCACGCGTGCCGTCGCCCGAGTCCTAGGCCTTCAGCTGGGTTTTATAAAACCTTTTTGCTTTAGGCCTTCGCCGCCGTGTACAAAAAAAAAAGGTTCAATCAATCAGTCAATTTCAACTTCTCACGGAAAAAAAAAGATCTTGCAAGGTTGGAATTGATTGATTGCACTTTTTAGTCCCACCCAGTCTGCTGTTACCACCGTAGCCATGCCCACCCAATGGGCCACACCCACCCAATGGGCCACACGACCCAGCACCCGATGATGCAGCTACCCAGCACCCAACGATGCATAAGTGGGTTTGGGGTTGCAGTTTGGGCAGTCGGTCTCTAAAAGGTTCGCCATCACTGATCTAGGGAGATTGGGCAGAGGATGGATGGGTGGATGGGTGGATGATGGAGATGATAGATATACATAGATAGATTGTTAGAAGATAGAAGAGCGAGTGAGCGAGAGAAATAACCTATTAGTCACTTTAAGCTGCCATGGGAACACTTCTTCCACTAAGGCTCCTATTGCAATCTATTTGGGCTGTGAAAAAACCAGGTTCTTTCAAACTGAGCTTTCACCTATTATCTATCAGGTTTTCAGCCACTTCCTGGCTTGGAGAAACACCTAGGTCAGGGGTAGGCAACCTTGGCTCTTTTATGACTCGTGGACTTCAACTCCCAGAATTCCTGAGCCAACCATGGCTGGCTCAGGAATTCTGGGAGTTGAAGTCCACGAGTCATAAAAGAGCCAAGGTTGCCTACCCCTGACCTAGGTCAACCCAAATAGCAGCTGCTTGTGGTCGAAAGACTACGTAATGAAACATATGTCTCTAGTTTGGCGTCTTCATGGCGCAACTTTCCCATTTGATGTGTCTGTCATCTTTGGTTAGTCTGCTTTTGCGCCCAGGGTGAATCTCTTCTGTAGAAGTGCCGAATTCAGGTTCCTTCCTCCCTTTGAATACACTCGTGCAAAACACTTGCAGAAAGTCAGATTATGAAGCACCTTTACAGAAAGTCAATGAAAGTACAGTATTGTATACATTTTCCAAGGGAAGTTTGTTTTTTATTTTTTTTTAGAAAAGGTTATGGCTTTGTTTTCATTACTGCCAATCAGATGCGTCTCACTATTGGGAATATAACTGAACTTCCATCACTGATCTCAAGACCCACATATCTGACCCTTCAAATAATCATTTAAATAACAGTGTGGGTATTTTTCTCCTTTATTAATTAATAGAACAAAACTTGTATATAAAACAATAGAAAAAATACTGAAAAGAAAAATAAAGTGGGAGAGAAAGATAATAGTTGCCAATATGGGAGATTTTCAGTGGACATACTGAGAATTTTGAATATATGTTGTAGATTTGGCCACAAAATGGCTGCCATGTTGCCACAAGTAACATAATAACTACTTATCAGAAGTTGAATAGGATGTTTTTCAACTCTGCCACTGGTTTTTGACAAGGAAATCCCTAATACTCTTTCCTTTCCTTTCCTTTCCTTTCCTTTCCTTTCCTTTCCTTTCCTTTCCTTTCCTTTCCTTTCCTTTCCTTTCCTTTCCTCTTCCCTGATTTTCACTGACTTTGTAAATGAAGTATTGTACCCCTACGCCTTGACTTAATTTCCATAATTTTATATACTTTAAGTTATGATGCCATATGTAGAGATAACGCTCAACTGACACTGATGAAAAAATAACCTCACATATAATGGCTTTATACTAAGGATTTGCTCAATTGTTTTGTTCCAAATGATCTTAAAAAGATTCCCAGTCATTTCCAGAGACAGCTTGCATTTGTCATCCCCATGATGCCTAAGTTTTTGGGTTTTTTTAAGCTTGTAAATAAGACATTTTATAGCATCTCTGACTAATGGTTAAAGTACAAATGTTTTCCCCATCACCAAGAATGTTCCTGTTGCAGACGGCTGAATCTGTGTGGCTTCTTTTTTAGGAGTTTTGACATCAATGTAGACATAGATAAACACTTCAGACAGTCCTGCTCTGAGTTTCACAACATCCGATGCAGCCATCCTGACAGCAATTTGCTGTTATATTCAAGAATGTGGGCGAGGGCCTGGAGTTTAGCTTTATGTTGCTTTGCAGTCATGATTTGCACGGAAGAACTATTTGTCTCCAGAAATAATTCCCTACACAAGGATTGCCCTCCAGATTGTTCTGGAAGAAAGAGAGTCAGGAGAATCCCACTCAGAAAAAGCTACTGCTGGCTGAGAGGCTGTTGCCCAGGCAGAGATGACAATTGCGACTTTCAATATGATGCCAGAAATGCCACATGCTACTGTGATGAGTTTTGTACTTCTGAACCTCCTGATTCTATCGATTGCTGCCCGGACTTCTGGCTGGTCTGCCACAAGCATACTCCTGAGCATGTAAGATCTCAGGTACAGCAATGGGGTAAGTGTTATGTTCCCACCTCAATTTCTACCAGACAGAGGAATGTGACTGACTGAATGCTATTAAAAGGTTCAGAATCTTGGAGATGAGTCTTGGAGATCAGTGGGACGACTTGCCTTCAGAAATTGTGAGTGCTCCATCTCTGGAGGTTTTCAAGAAGAGATTGGACAGCCATTTGTCTGAAACGGTATAGGTATGGTATAGGGCAGGGGTCTTCAAACTTGGCCCTTTGATGACTTGTGGACTTCAACTCCCAGAATTCCTCAGCCAGCGTGCCTGGCTGAGGAATTCTGGGAGTTGAAGTCCACAAGTCATCAAAGGGCCAAGTTTGAAGACCCCTGGTATAGGGTCTCTTGCTTGAGCATGGGTTGGACTAGAAGTCCTCCAAGGTTGCTTCCAATTCTGTTATTCTGTTATGGGTCCTCTTAAGAGCTTGCGAAAGGTATGGTTGGTAAATGTGCAGAAGAAAGGAAGGGAGAGACAAAGTTATACTGTAGTTTCCTGCATTTCTCTTTTTTAAAAAAAATACTGTGAAATTTATTAGAAAATACATCAACCGTTCCCTTTTTTCATATATAAAAGCAATATTGGGAAAATGGAAGATGATAAATTGCTTTATTAATGCAAGTTAATAAAGTGTTTAAAATTCAATATCACTATGCATTACTATTTCATCTGCCATTACCCTACTCTTGAAGACTTTATTTCAGTTCTTTTAATAAGTTCAGCTCATTTGGGAAGCTGGGTGTTTCTCGCTTTCATAAAAACATTAAAATGTGTCTAGCAAGAGCTAAAAAATTGCTATCCCTCTGAGACGGTAGTTCTATCTTCTCAGCTCCACAAGTGACTGAAAGCTACAAGCAATTAGACAGCTGTTCCCAAAATGAATAGCAACAGATGGAATGACTTTGCTTCTCTTTATGTCTAATTTAACTGTTAAATTGGCCTTTTCTACTCTATTTAAAAACTAAGTATTGCTGTTTCCTATTAGTTTCAAGAGAATTCTTTTGACATTATGTCAGCTGTCTTAAAATCCAAATAGATAGCAAGATAACTGAGTATTAGTAACAGTGATATTATCTGATCACATATTACATATGGCATTTGAAGATTAAAAGGCTGCAGAGTTTGTCAACTCTGACATATTTAAACTGAGTCAGGCCATTGATCTGCTTTCCTGGGATTTTAACATTTGTTTTTATTTTATTTTAGAAGAGTTTTAGTAAAGTCTTTTTGGTCTGGACTTACTAGTTGAATGCGGAATCTTTTGCATGGAAATATGCTCTGTCATAGAGTCTTTGACTTTTTTTGGTGGCTTAGAGCCTGTGCTGGTTCCTGGCAACTGCCTGGACAGGACTCTGCAGTTTCTTGGTGAGATTTCAGAAGTGGTATGCCCTCACTTGCTTCTTAGCGATGAGAAAGAGTGACTGTGTCAGACCTGCCCCAATCTGACCCCTTAGTAAAGAAAGACCCTCGACTCCATTTGGTTGAAGCAAAAGGTTCTTTTACTAAAAGATGTTGACTGCAGTAAAGTCAGGCTAGATCTGGGTTTCCTGTGCTCAAAAGATACAGAAACATTTCCCCTCATCCCAGCCCTCCCCCCCATGACCAGTCCATCTTCAGCCAATCAGAATGCACCAAAGAGTTTTGAGAACGCTGAGATATTTTGGGGTAATTCATATTCTTTCTCAAGGTTCCTGGCCTTGAATGCTGATACAAACTCTTCTGAGCTTCTCTGGCCTTTATCACTTGTCATTCCCACTCCCTATTTCCCATCACGTACACACATAGCTTTATTCCCCATCTATCCCCTCCCCCTGCCACCCTTCTAGCCTTTGATAGAAGGATTCCTGTGAGGCTACAACCTGAACCTGACAGATCTGACAGACTGGTCCAAGGACATCCAGCTGGCTTTGTGCCCCAGGCAGGACTAGAACTGACAGTCTCCCAGTTTCTGGCCTACTGCCTTAACTACTAAACCAAACTGGCTCTTGACATGGAGCTACAGGTTCAAATATTGCCTCTGGCTGCCATAAAGTCTTATACCAACAAGTTGCAATTCTAGAACCTCTTACTTGAAGAAGACTCATTGTGGCTTTCTACTAGATGAAAGGATGCAGGTTTCCATGTGTGGCTGCAATCTGAAATCTGTCCAAATGGATGGAACATAGCAGGATTTACTTCTAAATAAAAATTGTTGTAAGAAATGTTGGAGTAAGCAGAACCACACTAATTTGCATTTTAAGCAAAATGTATTAGTTTTCAACTATGGTCATGAGATACCGCAACAATTTCCTCACTCATAATTGGCATTAAAGTCAGCTGTGCTGTCCATAATACTTGTTGCATACTTGTTACATGATTTTTAAAGGGGTGGGAAAAGGGGTCCCCATACACCAAAAGGAACTCTTAGGTGGTGTTTGAGTTTCTATTTGTACTGCAAGCTTCTCCAATTACATCCCCATCTATACAACTCCCATAAGAGATATAGTAGTGCAGTGGTTAGAATGCAGTATTGCAGGCTAACTCTGCCCACAACCAGGAGTTCAGTCCTGACTGGCTCAAAATTGATTCAGCTTTCCATCCTTCTGAGATCACTAAAATGAGGACCTAGATTGTTGGGGGCAATAGACTGACTCTGTAAGATGCTTAGAGAGGGTTGTAAAGCACTATAAAGCAGCATGTAAGTCTAAATGCTATTGCTATTGCTATAATTCCATTTGAAGAACATCGGACTGGAAAAATCATAATGAGAATTGCATGAGTAGGTCTCTTCCTACATGTTAAACTATAAAAACTTGGTCAATATTTTAAAAGCTCTAAATATAAATCTCAGATGTTGCTCATGTTGAATGGGGGGAAAAGTTTTGATTTGGCTACAACTAGAATCTCATGAAAAGCAAAAGAAAAAAAAGGTACTTTCTCTCCTCATACATCAAGCTCTGTAATCCCTATTGAGTACAAATTGCATCTGGCAGTTTCCCAAAGCATGATAGCCCAACCTCATCAGCGAATTTTCTTCAAGCTGGCAATCTGCTGTGCAGCTCTCCTTGCCAAGAGAAGCCCAGGTTGGAAAATATTAAATTACTATTAATTGGGGCTGTAGCTCTCTGGTGTGACTTCAACCATATCAGAAGATTCCTGTCCAGATCTTTGGCTACAGAGTTCGGTGGAACTTGCTTTTCTAAAGAATGTCACAATTCCTGAAGATCTGTAGCAATGCACGGGCACAAAATAATGTTTCTTTTTTTTAAAAAAGATCTACTTTGAAAAAAAAGGAACAATATAAAAATTATTCAAGCAAGAAACAAGAGAAGTCTTTGGCAGAGGGCAGTGATTTATTATTGTTTTGATATTGCAATATTTGCAAATGCTTCCACAGTGGCCAGCAAATAATAGGAATTTTATTACTACTAAAGATCCTAAAACAATTTACAGTATTAGATATTGTGTTCCTCCATACCTTTATTTAACAGTTTTCAAGCTCTTTTACCAAGAGCTGCTTGATCCCCTGAGTGCTTACAATCTAAAATTTTAGATAGGAGAAATAATAGCAGCACACAGGCAATTTAAACAGGGAAGCAATAAATGAGAGCATGAATTTAAGTTTAGTTTCTGATGAACTTACAGCACACTATGCCTTAAAACCAGAACAGGCATAAGTAATCAGTTGTCCTTCATGTTTGAGGTTTGAAATACCATTAACACTACCCACCTAAGTCAATGGGAACAGATTGTCCAAACTGTAATTCAAAGCATTTGAAGGGGAACAAGTTGCTTTTCCTAAATCGGGAAATTCAGCCAATGATTCTGTATGAAGAATAGAAGTTAAGGCAGGATCTGATGGAAATAAGAGAAAAAGGTCATTTTCCCACTAGTGACTTCTAACATTTTCCTACATATCACCCAGCCATAAGTGAAGTGATATAAAACTCATCTAACTGTCAGGAAATTTCTCATCATTTCTAGGTTAGTTCTTTTCTTGATTAGTTTCCATCCATTGCTTCTTAACAGAATAACAAAGTTGAAAGGGACTAATCCAAACCCCTGCTCAAGCAGGAGACCCTATACCATTTCAGACAAATGGTTGTCCAATCTTTTTTTTAAAACCTCCAGTGTTGGATGACCCACAACTTCTGGAGGCAAGTCGTTCCACTGATTAATTGTTAACAGTTCATGTATATAATCAGCTGCATCACATGATCATCAAGTTATATAATTCATGATGACTGTGTGTAATCTTGCCATTCAACATTCAAAGAAGGCTTATAATGAAGATTTGTAAATTGCAGTGAACCTTCCTCTAATAATGTATCTAGTCTAAGTAGTATTCAGAAATTTTAACTTCATACTTTTCTACTTACAAATTTTTTTTATCTGAAAGAAACCAGACTGATTTTCAAACACTTAGAAAAGTGCTGACTTCCTTTCAATCCCAGTTAGTTTTCCACATATTTCACCAACCGAAATCTACTGTACGTATGAGACTATGTGAACCTCTAGGAACTAAGCAGCATCCTCTGTGGTAACTTATTCTGCCTTCAGTTGCTTTGGAGAATAGGTTGACTCCCTCTTCTTTGTGACAACCCCTGAGATATTGGAACACTCGTCCTCATGATTTTGCACAGGTATGGTTGGAGAACTGTCAAAAATGGTGTAAGTTGATAAGAGCAGAAATACACAGTAATGTGCAAAGGAAGAGGATGCTGAAAGACAACATGAGACTTTCACTTACAGAGCAATGACAGGACTGGAGGAATGAAAATCTGACCCAATTAAATATATGTAAATATAGCAAGAAACAGAAACTACCATCATGATTTGAAGAAGTCATGATCAGAAGGACAGGAGAGAAGCATGGGAGACCACTGAGGGAGGCACGTGAGTGTGCTGGCGATGGGGGATTCTGTTAATGTGTTTATGACATCATTACAGATATGCCACAGGTATATACTTATGTATCATTATTTTCATATTGCTATTTTGTGCTGGGAATTCTGCTGGAGAGAGAGGATTGTTTGGCAGCAGACTATTGGGCAGAGATGAAGGGACTAATATGAAATCTTAGGAGGTGGACCTGGGTTTTTTTTTGTTTTTTTTTAGGGGACAGAGAAGATGGGCTGTTTTCAAAGTGCTAAACCTGGAGGTTTCATGACTTGGATCCCTGCTAAATGTGGAGAACTATAGAATTTTATTTATTTCTATCCTGCCTTTATTATTTTTACAAATAACTGAAGGTGGCAAACATATGCAACACTCTTTCCTCTTCCTCCTACACATCAAAAACCCTGTGAGGTGGGATGGGCTGAAATAGAATGAGTGGTCCAAGGTCACCAAGCTGGCTTTCATGGCTAAAGCTGGACAAGTTTTTGTTATGCAGGAGGACCAAGGATCTTTGACTAGTTCTTTCAAGCATAGTTGAACCTCACCTGGGACCGTTTTAATCAAATAGAACCACTTGGGTTGGAAAGGAAGGTGATAGTCCTTATCTCTCTAGGCAATTTGTCTAGATCTTTGGATTCTAGAAGCTGAAAAAAATAAAAAGGCAACTAGGAGAGCAATTGCCTAGTTTATGTCTAGCTGCCAAATGCTGGAGTTTAGATTGCGCTAATAATTATATTTTGTGAGCCACGGCAAACAGACTACATTGCCAACTGTGTTGCATCCACCATTAAGCAAGAAGTAAGTATGTTTTAGGCCCTGCTTGTAAATATCTTCAAGGTTTTATTTAAGGATTTTTTTTTTCCGTTCAAATGTGTCTGATTCTTGGAGACTGCCTGGACAAGTCCTTGTAGTTTTCTTGGCAAGGTTTTTTTTAGAATTGGTTTACCATTACCTGCTTCCTAGGGCTGAGTGATTGACTGGCCCAAGGTCATCCAGTTGGCTTGCTGCTTATGGTGGGACTAGAATTCATGATCTCCCAGTCTCTAGCCTTACACCAAACTGGCTCTTTAAAAGAAGTACAAAGCATTAATTTGGAGAAGGAAAAGTAGAATCTAATTTAAAAAAAAAAGTACTTCAGGAATGAAATAGAAACAAAGTTAATGGAAATAGAATAATTCTTAAATTCCATTACAAGGGCTGCACTGGGCATGCTTCTTAACATCTTTTTTCAAATATTCTTTTTCTTCAATTCATCCTTTTTCTGCAAGGATGAATTATTAATTCAGTTCACTGATGCAAAAAATTAAGTTTCCTACTTGACATAGAAGCATCATCTTTTGGGAAGATTGCACACACTAGCATTTTTCTAATTATTACCTCTTTTTCTATGTTTTGTGTTGGCAGATTGCTTCAAAGATGGACAGCATTATGAAGAAGGAGCAACATTTAAAGATAACTGCAACAGTTGGTAATGTCCCTAAGAGAAAGGAATGAAAAATCTTCATTGATACAAATGATTACATCACTTATTACCCTAAACTCACATTAATTTGAATGAGTGCTCTCCTCATATGTACAAATCAAACAGAAATCATTTGGCAGCCTGCATCACAACAGCCCATGAATTACTTGCAGATATGTTGCTGTGCTGCTGTGCTGCAATCTGGATAAACTGGTACTGTAAGAGTACATTTATATGCAGTTTGAAGGTGGAGCTGCCTATTATGTTAAATATTTACACTGGGGGGAAAATATGTGGAGAGCAACAACAGTAGGGTGCTGTCAGGCACAAGCAATGAATGGAAACTAATCAAGGAGAGACGCAACCTAGAACTAAGGAGAAATTTCCTGTCAGTTAGAACAATCAGTGGAACGACTTGCCTCCAGAAGTTGTGAATGCTCCAACAACGGAAATTTTTAAGAAGAGATTGGACAACCATTTGTCTGAAATGGTATAGGGCAGGGATAGGCAACCTTGGCTCTTTTATGACTCGTGGACTTCAACTCCCAGAATTCCTGAGCCAGCCACGCTGGCTCAGGAATTCTGGGAGTTGAAGTCCACGAGTCATAAAAAAGCCAAGGTTGCCTAGGGTTTCCTGCCGGAGTAGGGGGTTTGAACTAGATAGAAGACTCCAAGGTCCCTTCCAACTTTATTATTATTATTATTGGTATAATTAATAATTAATCTGGTATAATATTATATTAATATTATACCAGACCACACATGAAAGAGTTTAAACTAGTTACTTTATTTTTCTATTGCCTGTTTCATAGGAATCTTCCCAGACTGGCAGGTTCTCCTGGGAAACACTAGATGAAACTCAAAGGCATTCAGGGGGTGTCAGACTTTGCCCTCTTGTGTTTATGTAATGAGTCCAGGCTAATATCCAGTTTGATGCCTCCTCCCAACTAGGATGGTTGTTCTTCATCAGATGCAAGAAATCTCCATCAGATTTCTTAGCTAGGTCTTATGTTTGTGGCATCTGAGCATGAAAATTTTACAAGCACATCGCTTGTGATCTACTTATGCTATGTTTAGTTCTTCAAATTTTGTTTTCTCATGTAAAACTATTCTCTGTTCTCTTCCTTTCAGTAAGTGTGTAAACAGTCATTGGAGATGCGCAGACGAAACCTGCCTCATTCAGCCCAAATTAATTGAGCAAATCAACAGTGGGACCTATGGGTAAGCATCTTGATGTGTGTGACTCTCAGGCAAATAGCTTCCCCTTTATTTACAGAGAAAGTATCAAGTGGGTTGTTGCCATGATACACTAATTCTTGTGAATGCCTGCACTACATATGAATTCATGTGCACACATACAGCTTTTCTAATATATTTTAATGTTAGAAATAAATCTACAAAATCAATTCATCACCAAACAGCAATAAAGCTGAACTGTCCGGAGTTTTAGGTTTGCAAATCTTAGAATTTTGCAATTTAGAACTGCAATTTGCAATTCAAAAAGGAATGATTTCCAGTTTTTACAACTCTTATTCCGTAAGATAGGAATCTATGTGTCCTAATATAATGAAGGAATGTGCTACAGACATATTGCCAAGATTTGCTTCTGAACTAACTGATCTCACAAAAGAGGAAAACAAATTATTGCCATCAATCGTAATTTTAGTTTCCTGCTGTTGATAACAGCCTTCTTTGATAGGTTTATGCAACACCATCCCCCCAAAAAAATTCTTATTAGAAGTTAACAGGTTTTTTGGCTTCACTTTCTAATCATACTCTGTTCTTGTGAATTTTTAATTATTAACTAAGAATAATCATCGATACATCTCCAAAAATGAGTTCTGGCCTATTATCTATTAATATGAAAGATTATACTGCCACCATCTTTTTATATAAGGTGCCATAAGGTCAGGAGCATTCACAGAGGAGTAGAAAAAAGTCAAGGTGACAGCCACAACTAATGATTAAATCTCGTTCCTTTTTTACATATGTTAGCTAGGGGCTTTCCTAGCTAACTGTGACTGGTATCTTGAGCAGTTTTATCATAATACATGAGACAGACCTGTTTGAGATGGTGTACAAAATATGCAGTTTTGAGTGAGTCACTTTAAAAAGGCAAACAAAAACCCCTCACAACAGCTAGGTTCACACAACACATCCAACTTGGTGACTGAATTGCATCATTTTTTGAAAACACACAATATACTGAATAAATGAACTAACCAAGCAGGCTGTGTTCCCAGAGCATACTACTAAGCCAAATACATATATATTAGTTCTCCACTTAGAACCACAACTGAGCCCAGAATTATGCTGTCATTAAGCAAGGCGCTCATGTAGCTTTCCCCATTATGCGGAGCATGGGGTGCCATAGGGGCTGGGGGGAGGCCCTGGTTGCTGAAAGAATGATTGTGAGTTGAGGACTATCTGTACCCAAAACAGTCTTAATAAAGATTCAAATCAACAAGGCTCAACATGTGGTGTGAATAAATGCAATTACTTGAACTTTAATTGACCTGGCTAAGCAGATCATCTTAACACCATCACTGGCTATGTTGGGAGTGGAGGAGAAGGAAATCCTGCATTTCGTCTCCATCCCCCCCCCTTATTATTTGAAGAACATTAACAGATTGATTAGCATGTGAAGGGCAGTAGAGGGATGGGATAATCAAGGAATCTTTAGAATTTTTTAGGATCAGTAGAATTTTGAAACTGGCCTTCTAAGGATTCCTTGATGGTCCCATCCCTCCCCTGGCCACTATTAGCTTTTTTTTGTTCATGTCCATGTCAAATACAAAAATTATCAATGCAAAATAAAAATATAAAGTCATGGGATAGATTCATGTTATCAACCATCATGCTTCATAAGTTTCAGAATCCTGAAACAATTGTGTTGATTCCGAGCATAGGAAACATAATCATCTTTACTGATATTAGTATCAACTGGTTGCATGAAATGAAATTTGACAAAATATTTATAAACAATAGCACCCCTGAAGTGTGCCGAGTTTAAAACAGCCACGTTTTAAACAACCTGCCTCCAGAAGTGGTGAATGCTCCAACACTGGAAGTTTTTAAGAAGAGACTGGACAGCCATTTGTCTGAAATGGTATAGATTTTCCTGCCTCAGCAGGGAGTTGGACTCGATGACCTCCAAGGTCCCTTCCAACTTTATTATTATTATTATTATTATTATTATTATTATTATTATTATTATTATTAAACACACCTTTATATACAAATATACATACATATCTGATGCATTCTATCTATTTGTGAGACAGATGGAAAGCTGATAATTACAGCCAGTTCTGGGGAATGAGCTTGAAAGAAGGTTTCAATTATCGTCTTGGCACATTTCACCCATCGGCTGCCCTGTTGGACATGCGACCTGTCACAGTAGGTCTCCATTTTTTCTCTTTTCGATTCAAAGTACAAACATCAGACGTATTCCACCCATGGCCCAACAGGTTGCATGCAGCCCTGGATAGCTAGTATTGTGGTCCCACAAGATTGCAAACTTTTACCATTATTATGTATCTATGTACATTAAGTATATCATATATTTTATATGTGGCCCAAGACAATTCCTCTTCACTCAATGCGGCCCAGGAAAGCCAAAAGGTTGGACACTCATGCTCTAGATAAGAGGGTTTTTTTGTGTACAATACCCAAAGATCTAACATTTATAGGCAGTTGATTAATCAAGACAACGAATCTTCCCTATGAAAATGATTGTTTTTTTCACAGTTGATTGTGTTTACTCAGGTAAATATTTGTAATGAAATGTAGACATTCCTCTGTTTCCTAATTTTAGAGTTTCATTATATCTGCATCTCCCTGTAGCCCAAGAATAGAAGATCAGTTTTCCTCTTGATGTTGTTGAAGTACAGCTCCCATCCTTCAGCATTGGAAGTATAGTTCAGCATTAAAAAATCAGACATTTCTCACCTCTTTGTAAATTGTCACAAATCTAATAACAATCTGCAAACCATTCTCGCTGCAGCATTTTCCAGGTGGATCCAAACACACCAAATGTCCCAAATGTCTTCAAAATGATTTTTGTGGGGTCCTTGGTTGTTTTCTTGCAGATGTTTCAGTATCAAACTAGGTAACACCATCAGTGTTAGCAAAGAGTGGGGTTTTGCTCTTTTTTTATATACCAGTGTCTTGCCCTGTCTGTTGGTGGGAGTGGTCTTGGTTCCTGATTAGACAGTTGTTTGCTGTTAGCTTGTTGCTCTGTGTTGGTAGTTCCTTGATATTTTTTTTTTGCCTTGTATGTGTTGGCATGTATTTTCATTTGGATCAACATCACGTCACAGCACATGAAAAATCTCTGCAGCGCATAACAAAACTCTGTTCTCCCCTATCACCCACCTGTTTGGTTATTGCTATTTTATTATGGCCCCTCTCCCTGCTCACACAACTAATTCATTTAAGGACAAACATTGAATGTTTGGGAGATGTTCACAGTGGTCTGTAATCACAGCCTATGTATACAGCTTGAGGGGTAAGAGGATGAACAAGGCTTTCTGGAGATGGGTCTGTCTGTGGGTGCTTCAGTGATGCAGCCTTGAATCTTATAGCTTTCTGCACCGAAATGTTTGATCTCTTTAGGAAAACACAGCAGCTGTTGCGGACTTCCCCGAATTCTTTATGGCTTCCTACGAATGGCCAGGCTGGATTCATGATCCTTTGGACCAAAGAAACTGTGCAGCATCCTGGGCATTTTCAACTGCAAGTAATATGCTCTTTTGGCTGCATGGTTGGTGCCTAGAATTGTGATTGAACTATATCTACTTCAAACTTACTCTTGACTTCTTGCTAGGTGTATTTGAAAAGACAGCGTGCAACTTCCGTTTATTTTCCATTTCTTCTACCCCATTAGATTGCTTCTTCTGAAAAAGAACAAGAGCACTTCCCCCCTATAACCCTTCAAAGAAAAAAAATCTAAAATGCTAGCCTGAACTCAGTAGATTCTTTATGTGCGATCAAAAATATGCAATAAAGGTATGCAATCAGATACAAGAAATAGATGTTCTTTATAAAGAATATTGCGACTGTGGATAACCTCTTATAAAAATTGAACGAAACTAACTTCTTAACTCATCCATATTGACGTAACCCAGTTTTAACTATAGAGAATTTTGTTAGCCCTTTGCCTATATATGGCATTTCTTGTAGGACAACCATATTGGGACAACAGAGATTTCATTCTTGACTATCCATTGGTCAAAGGTCTTCTGTTTGAAGACCTCCAGAGTCCCTTCCAACTCTGTTAGTCTATAATTCTGCAAACAAAACCAGCTGGTTCTATTTGCCTATGCAATGCTAAACCATGAGGGAAAAAATATCCCCAATTTTACGAGAATCCTTTGAAAAGGTCATGTATCTTCACAGTAATCTACCAAAATTAAGGAATGCTAGCTGGTTTTATGTATTCCCGTTTCAATGATTTATTACTACCTCTCAGGCAGAAAGCTTTATAACTGACCTTTTTCCATTGGATAGGTGTAGCTGCAGATAGAACAGCAATTCATTCCCAAGGCCATTTCACAGACAATCTTTCGCCTCAGAACCTGATATCTTGTGCCATTAAGAATCAGCAAGGATGCCAAGGAGGAAGCATAAGCAATGCTTGGTCTTACATCACAGAGTATGGGTAAGTAGGATTGTTATTATTATTCCCAGAAGTAAGAAAGAATCAATTACAGAAAACAATATTATGATACACATACCATCCATTTTAGAGAGATAAGAAGTTTCAGGGTGGATGCCAGTTATTTCTCAGGGTTCATTTTCATCGAAAAACAGACAGTGTGACTGGTGTTGCTTCTGTGATACAAAATTCATTAACCCATGTGGACAGGCTGAGTGCAAGTCGTTAAAAGCTTTAAGACTGCCAACTGATTCCTGTTCACCATCAGATGGTGGAATGTAGTTTGGAATCCAAGGAAGGAGGGGCTGCTTCCCAAAGAGACAGTGGAGCTTGGAGTGTCTGGTAGAGAGAGATAGGCTGAGCCTTCCCTAGCAGCTCATAAAGTATAATATATCTTTAACTATGCAGAAGGTTTCAAACTGGCACAGAATCACAGCTGCTCCTACATAGTGTTTGTCTGCAAATCATAGTGAGCCTCTGTGATTTGTAAACCACGCTTTCTGGTTTTATATGTTGTGTGTAGTCAACAAAATGTGGATATGGAATTATCTATAGTTAATTGAGATATTTGGAATGCGTAGATCAACCTACAAAAGCTTATATATAACCTTGTAAACTTATATTAATCCTGTAAAAGAACTTACATACTACCGTAGATTTTCTCCAACTGTAACTCATTTAACCACTCTTTATAAATGTTAAGTACTTTAAACCCATTGTATTTGTCCACTTTAAAAAAATGTGAAGGTACATACAATAATATGAGAAAGAAAAACCCAAACAGTAACACAAAAAATATGATAAGAAAGATTTCTTGCAGCACATATTTTTATTTGATAAATTAGTCCTGCAACAGTGACAAAACCTCATCAGTGCTCGTAATTAGACATGATGGGATGATGTGACAGATTATAGGTGAAGAAAATTATAGCTGCCATTCAAAGAACAGATCTGAATTCTGCCTGTTTGTTCCTTGTAGGATAAATATTCTATTGTAGCTGTGAATAAAACAGAATAATAGGCAATTATGCAACTATTCACACTGATGGACATAAAAATAGAGTTTATGCCAATGAGATACTGATTTTCTAAATTGGTTTGACAAGGTTCTTAAGAAAATATAAATCATTCTCTCTCTGGCACAAAAAGTACAGCTAAAGCAATAACCTTTATCAATATTTATTTTTATACTAATGTTATTAAATATAGCAACTAAAAGTTACAAACTAATATAAACTTAAAAAAGAATAGAAAAAGTAGAAATGCAGAAAAGATGGAAAAGTAGAAAAGAAAGTAAAAAAGAATAAGAATATAGTAAAGAAAAAGAAAAGAAATATGTAAAGATATGGCTTCCCCCTTCATTACAACAAGTTTAAACAATTTTAGTAACTTATCACCTTCTCTTAAAATAAACAAAGAATCTCTTCTTTCCATGTCTCATATTTTATCTATAAACAAATCCTTCAAGCCTTGTCATTCAGTTCTGGTCAGCAAAAGTCCATTAAGAGTTACCCAAGATAAAAACATATCTATGTTAACCTTGATCAAATAAACCAACCATATATTATTTCCTTTTACTTTTAGCAAACTTGAACTTTAATCCCTTCAAATAATAAAACTTATTTTTTAAAAAACATTTTCTCTGTCCCTTCTCACAAAGTTCTTCAAAAGTTTAAAAGCCTATTTTGCAAATTCAGGGTAGGAAAGTTATCCAGATCACATTTGGTTTGTTATTTGTTATTATATCCCTTTTAATTATTAAGACATAAGGCAGTTTTATTTGTATTTAGAGTGTAGCATCTTTTCCATATCATTCTTGTTACCTGTCATGTGTAAACCCACTTTCAAATCAATCTCAGTTTTGTCTGGTAAAGCTGGTTCCTCTTCCATAACATCTTCTAAATGCAGTCTGTCTATACTGGCAAAAACTCTTAAAATTAAGTTCTTGGTTCATTGTTCGCAAATATCCTTCAGTACATCCAATGTTGAAGTACTTTGCTCCAGTCTGTATTAGTAAATCAAATTCAAGTGCTCTTCTCCTTTAATTGTAATGTTTAGTTCCTCTGGGTTCACTTAGTGTCCAATCTTTAAGGTCCCATCCAATCGTGTTTTTTTAAGAATTCAAAACAACAGCATTTCCCATGGGAAGGATTCTTATAATGAACTTCAAAATCTTATTTCAAATCCATCTGGACCCTTAGACCATTGTACCTTTCCACTATTCTAATCACCCTCTTGCTATTTATTCCAAAAGACAAGATTTTTTTTAAACCCTTAAACTTGTATTTAAAATTTTTTTCACTAAGAACTGAAGGAAACTTACTTGGTTCCTTAAAACTGAAAGGCAGTTAACAAGCAATTTCTAAAAGTGATTAGAAAAGGCCATTTGCAAGCCATGGGCCCCTAAAGGTATTGATTGTGATTTGAATGAAGGTGACTTTCCCTCATCTCCGAGAGCTCTAAATCTGCTGGAGACCACTGCCTTGCAGTCATCTCAACTGTCTGGAAGACTTATGGGCTATCTCAGGTTCTCTCCTTGTCTGGAGAGGAATTACAAAAAGCCAGTCTTTGTTCTGCCGTAGTCTTTGGCTCTGCTTTTAGGGGAGATGTCTTCAGTTTGCCATTTCTTCCCTGGAAGCCCCAACTTGTATCAATATTTAGATAGCTGAAATCGATACTCATCTGAGAACAAGTCCATCAAAATGAGTAGGACTTACTTCTCAGAAGATACATACAGGGCTGTTTAAGTATTGCTCTCTAGTTGCAGGAACAGAGATATGAGCTCACTATTTATGTGCTATTTGGGAAAAACCCAAAAGATTTAGAAAATGAAATATTAAAAGCAAATACATGTAGTCTTCAACTTACAACAGTTCATTTAGTGGCCATTCAAAGTTACAACGGTAGTGAAAAAAGTGTCTTATGACCGTTTTTCACACTTACAATCACTGCAGCATTCCCCTGGTCATGTGATCAAAATTCATACCCTTGGCAGTTGACTCATGTTTACGACGGTTGCAGTGTCCTGAGTTCATGTGTTCCCCTTTGCGATCTTCTGACAATCAAATTCAATGGGGAAGCCAGATTCACTTAACAACCGCGTTACTAACTTAACAACTGCACATCTGTGACAAGAAAGGTCATAAAATGGGACAAAATTCACTTAACAACTGTCTCGCTTAGCAACAGAAATGTTGGGTTCAATTGTGGTCATAAGTTGAGGACTACCTGTAGTATATTTATTTCTGATCCAACCTTAACCTGAATAAAATAAATCATTAGTTTCTTTTATTCTGGGAAGGAAGGGAAGGCTTTGCACCAATTTATTTATCGTTTCAAGGGATCAAGAATAGGGCACATTTAACAAGGCCTATAAGACCAGGGTCAAAACTGTCAAGATGGTGGTTGTAAGTACATGATAGGAGCTTCTCCTCTTTGCACATGCAGGTTATTGCCACACATACAAAAGGGATGTTAGGGATCTTGACTTTTTTGACATGTAACCTCCTCTCCACAGACATTCTCAGGTCACTGGCTTATTTGAGTAGAATTGTTTTGCTCTTGCTTCCCTTAGTTTTATGATCAAGTTTAACTGCTATGATTATATAATTTCTAATTTTTAATTACCTGCAGCATTTGATAATTTATCAAACATTTATAAATTTAAATTTTACAGATTTGCAATTCATAACAAATGGAATAAACATTTAACATTATTTAGAATGATCAGTTTCCAGCTACATCCTATTGGGGAAAAAAAATTCTCAACGTTACCATGACACTATGTTACTTTAAGCAGAGCAAAATAAACAAATGACAAAGAAGATGCTTATGAATGCCTTTTTGAATTGTTAGTTTACTTCAAAAGGTATTTGAAGCTTAAGGATTTCAGAAGCCACGGTATTATTCATCAAAGTGGAACAAAGATACTTCCTAAACATTTTCTGAAAGGATTGGTTTTCTCTTTCCCCACCTTCCCCCTCAAAATTGTTCAAACATAATTGCTGGTGGTTAATTCTGAAACGAAGGAAGGCCCTAGATATGAATCAGAACTTTCCCACATCTGTGGTTTTCAGTCTGTCTTTTTAAAAGAACATTTTTCAGAATAATAGCTGTGTAACGACAAGAAGCAATCATTTTGTATCTTGAGCTCTAAATATTTTCAATATTCATTTATGGAGGGAAGACAGGAATCTTATAAGCAGCATTGGACAGAACCCTTAATTATTTATTTGGTATTATGAAAAGGAATTAGTGATTTTGTTTTTTTTTTCTTCAAAGCATCTATCCTCTCATACATTGGCTTGCAAATTGATGGTATAATACAGAGTCTGCCAAACAGAGTTTGCAGATAAAGGTAACTCTGAGGCCAAAGAGTGGAGCTTTGACCATATGCAGGACAAGTGTTATAAAATATGCATGCATCTCCACAGTGTTACAGGTCACTGGAATCCTGAAAAGGTTAGTTTTATTGTTAGCCAGAGTGAGATGATAACTTGGGATATTGAGTGGCATTATCAACAGCATCCGAAAAGTGCTTTTTCAAAAAGCAACTGGATTTTCTTTATTTTTCTTAAAGACATTTCACTTCTCATTCAAGAAGCTTTTTCAGTTCTGAAGAAGCTTCTTGGGTGAAAAACAAAAACAACTTCAAGAAAAAACAAAGAAAGTCCACTTGCTTTTTGAAAAAGCACCTTTGGAACAACCATGGCCTGGATGACTGAGAATCTCCATAGACATTTATCAACAGCATCATTACCATCAGCCCCTGTTTAGAGGTCAGGCTTTCTATTCCATATAGTTTAGCCCTTGTCCCTGAGATCACTAAGTGCTCTTAAAGTGAGATGCAGGATGCTGTCCCATCACTGGTTTTAAAATAAAGACCAACTCTTAGTCTAGACCAGCTTCTGTTGTGGAAATAGTATGGGATGCTATCATGTCCTTTGCCTTAGGCCTTAAATCCTATATAGTGCTTGAAGAAGTCTGTAAATTAGTGTTTAAAGCCAACCTCAGTGACTTTAAAATGTGTGAGCTTCAACTTCAACTTCCAGAATTGCTTAACCAACACTTTCTAGGCATTATGGCCTACTATTTCCTTCAGTTGCAATCAGCCTGACCAACAGTCGGGCATGATAGGAACTGCTAGACTAAAACTCCCAGTGACCGACCCAGATTGGATCCTGCAACATTATCCTGGGACACATATATTTGCCTTCATTCGTGATAAAAACTCTATGCCAAAATATCTCAAAGCACCTGGATCAAAGAAGGCATTTCTAAGGTGAGAGTGCAGATTTCAAAAATATAAGATCTACATTGTTGCAGATCCTCTTTAAGTAAGATTTTAATCCACAAAATGTTAGCTCAGGAGATTAATTCAATTATGTCCTGTACCGCTTCAGCCATACACTAGAATGACTCATATTAGTACAACTCTATCACTGAAGTAAGGATCAGAGAATCTAATAGACTATTTAAGAAGAGGCTTTTTGTTGCCACTGTTAAGAAAACAGAAAAATAGAACACATTGTTTTCCTCCATAAAACATTTAATATCCTACCAATAGATCCCAATCTACTGTAACCCTTTCCAAATTAGATTCCAGGAATCCTATCGGCTGTATGGAAGGTCTGCATCAAACTTCACACTGTAGCTGCCTTATCTTGGCTCCAGCAAAGTAACCAACAAAACATAATAAAATAGCTTGTTAAAAAATAACTTTCTTGAACCAAATTTCAGAGCTGTTGCAGAACAATCCCATCTGACATGATGGCTATAAGGAGTCTGTATCTTTAAGATAAAAAGGATTCCTAGGGTATGCATTTTGAATGGTGGGATATAAACGCTTTCCTGACTTCTGAGTGATTCAGAAAAAAAGAATAAGTAATGCAATAAATGCTTTCAAGTTAAGAGCAGAAAGAGTAGAAGAGTAGAAAAAAATAAATATAATAAGGTATAGATTATCTTCATTTTTTAGATGCAGTCTTGATCATATCCTCTTACTAACTTATATCTGTATGGGATATTTGATACAGATACTAGTACAGTGATTGCACAGCCAGGGACAACCACAATATGGCTTCAGTCACCTGGATTCACTTTTTCAGAGATGCAAATTGCATCTAGCAGCCGGTTTCAAACTGGTCTTGGATTCTGTCAGTAAGAAGGAGCTTAACCTCCTCTTTGCCACAGTGCTGATCAAGATGGACTTGTATTTAATTCCAGGTAGCTATGTTGTAAATTAAAAATAGGTTTCCTTCAGGTTATAATATATACATTAATTTGAAAAGCCTCTCTTGAACAGGAATCTAATCCATATTCTAACACAGGCATGTATGCAATCAATGACATGGAAGGTGAATGCAAATCTCCAGCCTCTCTTTTACTGCTGCCAGAGGCCCTAAGAATTCTACTTCTAAACTACTTCCAAACTACTAAGTTATATACTACTAACTACATAGGTACCAATATATTTTACTTTTTTAAAAAAAGTATAAGCTTCCAATAGGCATATTATGTCTACTTTAACAGAGTAGAATAACAGAATAACAGAGTTGGAAGGGACCTTGGAAATCTTCTAGTCCAGACATGTCAAACTTGCAACATCATGTGACGTCGCGCAACGTATCGGACTTTTTCTCCATTGCCAGCAATGGGGTGGGCGCGGCTTCCGGATGATGTGTCCGGCCCGCGGGCCGGCAGTTTGACACCCCTGTTCTAGTCCAACACCCTATTCAAGCAGGTGTTCCTATATCATTTCAGACAAATGGCTGTCCAATCTCTTCAAGAGGTGAAGCACCCACTTGACTAATCACCATTCAAAATATTGCCAAAGAAGAATCCACATTTCTGAGGCGACTTTGAGTTACAGCTGCTTTCCACCCTCCACCCTTTTTTTGATAATAATGATAATAATACATGTGTTTCCAAACTTAGAAAAAGCATTGCCTGCCATCAGTCTAAAAGATGAGGCATTCCTGAAACATAGTTCCTTACATAAAATGAAGAATCCTGCCTATTTAAAACTTTAAAAAATATATTATCAATTTGTATTTTAATCTAACTAGGCTGGTATCCCATGCCTGCTATCCTTTATTCTGGAACCAGCTTCACCCGATGACTTGTGCCATTGCAAGTGTGTTTGATGCTGAGGGGAAAAGACGGCCCACAAAGCCGTGTCCAAATCAGTTTGAAACATCAAACCGCATTTATCAGTGTGGCTCTCCCTACCGAATCTCTTCAAAGGTAAGTGCTGAGCGTGAATAAATTTCAACTCCTACAATTTACTTTTGTTACCTTGAAGGCTGGCAATTTCTTGGTTCTTCCCAAATTCCACTGATACATATATATTTGCACGTGCAGGGGTTTCTTTCTAAAAGAAAGATTCATCACTGGGTAAGGATGTCGAATTGAAACCCTTTCTCTAAGGAGAATGTAGTAAAATCAGGGTGCAGCCAGATCAAACTGTTTGCTATAATTAATAAATGCCGTGTACTCTTTTCTCTAAATAAGGTGTTCAATTCAGAAACATAAATATGAGGGGAAATAGATGTAAAAAATAAGTGTACCATTTTGTTTTTTGTTCCCCAATTCTAGGAGGCCGATATAATGAGAGAAATCAAAGAAAATGGTCCAGTGCAAGGTAGAGAAAAGCTCAATTTAAAATTAATTACTAAGCATGACATGCATAAAAGCAAACTCTTACCACAGACAATTCTTGAGAATATTAGTTGTCTCTGTGTTAATTGTTTTAGAATAACAAACATAACCCTCATTCTTCCTAAGATTCAATATATTCTACTATATGGCTCAGCTTCAATTTGCCTGGTGTATACTTTAGAATTAGATGATTTGTTACAATCCTAAACCAAGATGTTATACAACAAAACAGCAAAGCTTGATTTATGGTGTACTCTTCCATATGTCCCTTCAGAAGCTGGTCTAGTCCATGGGTTCAGTGAAATTGATAGTTTACAACTATATCACTCCAAAACAATGAGCATGGATTTATGATGTCTAGATCTATATTTATGGGTATTAAATGTGAGGGGAAAGCGTCAATACCTTCATACTGCATAGAGTGGGCGATATTGGAAGAATCGGGAGCTCCAGCTCAATTTGTGTTGGAAACAAACAATCAGCACAAGAGAGAACGATCATCTTTGCCTCTTCTGTTGGTCAGCTGGAGAAAGCACTGACTGGTTCTTGATGCCTTTAGCATTCTGAGACCAGCAAGAGTTAACAAAAGATGTCAGGCAGGTTGGCTTCAAATAGCACTGGAGGACTGGTTGAATAGAAATGGTGATTTATTGCATCAAATAACAGCGAAGAAGTCCTATTTGGTTTTGAACTGGGCACGAGAAAACCCACCAGTTTTCTCAGAGGAATTTTAAATTCTGAAGATGAGGGATAGACGTAGAAGGATGCCACCTTAGTTTGGTGAACAAACTAAGGATGGGAGGGAGAAATCAATCTTAGAACTACTGAAGTCATTTCATGCTAGGGATCCTTAGAAAAGGAACTTTAAGAAGTGACACTTTTCGTTTTAACTAATCCACAAAAAGACTTCATTTGGAGCATCATGGACGCTTCTGACCACTTCATCTTTAGGTGGATGTTATAGATTTGGAGAAAAGGAGAAAAAGAGCATTCAGAATTACTGGAGTGGAAAGGCTGTTTTACAAAGAAATGTTAGGGAAGCTGAGGCTCTTTAACTTGGATGAAGTTGAGTCAGAGGTTGAGCGATGGAGGCATATAACATCATTCATGGCAAACACAAGTGGAGAAAGGGGCATCTGTAACAATTATGCTCAAACAAAGACATCTATGCATGTGTCATCCTGCAAATGCCAAGTGTGTACTTCCATTACAATGTCTGATGCGTGCCGATATGATCAGATTCCTAGATGAGGAGGCAATCTTAGAAATCTACTAAATATAGATTTTGCATGTAGCTGTTGCCATCTCCTTGCCTCCCACAGACACCTGTGCAAATATTTTTCTCCCTCTCTCACATATAAATTCTTCAAATGAAGGAAGATTCAGAAACAACAAAGAGGGTTTTTTTCACATAGCCCACAGTTAAACTCTGGAATTCCCTATCAGTGAAGGACAGATAATGGCAGCCAAGTTGGATGATTGTAAAATGGGCCTGGAAGAATTCTTGAAGGATGAGGCAATTTATGATGTTTATATCATAAACATCATAATGACAGTTTATATGGATTATAGGCAGCATGCCTTAAATACTGGCTGATGGGAAGGGAACTAGGTATGTTTAGCCTTATGAAGAGAAGGCTCAGGAGAGACATGATAGCCGTTTTCCAATACCTGAAGAGCTATCACAGGGAAGGGGGCATCCATTTATTCTCCAAAGCACCTGAGGTGAGGATAGGAAGCAGTGGGCGGAAGCTCCTCAGAGAGAGATCCAATCTGAAAATAAGGAGGAATTTCCTGACGGTGACAACAATCAGTGGAACAGCTTGCCTCCCAGAGTTGCGGGTCCTTCATCACTGGACTTTTTCAAGAAAAGATTAGACAACCACTTGTCCAGGATGGTATAAGGACTCCTGACTTTTGAGCAGGGAGTTGGACTAGATGACCTCTGGGGTTCCTTCCAGTCCTGTGATTCTATGATATAATTCTATTACAAGCGACAGAGATAATAACTGTGCAGTCTAGGCACACAGGAGCTTTTTCAATGCATTCAACTGATGGCTGAATGACATATAATACAGGACTAGACAGACCAATGGCCTGGTCTAGCAGATCCTCTCTTACATTCTAATGATTCTCAACAGGAATCTGAACATGAAAGAAATGAAGAGATTCTAGCACGAGAGGTTTGAGGAAATGGTAAAGAAGAACAGATTGTAGGTGTGAGAGGGATTGGATGAGACAGAGGCAGATGTTTCCAAAAGGGATGCAGCAAAAGCCAAGAAGTAAGAATAAGACGAAGTAAAAGGGGGAACACTCCATCTTGGCTGAATAGGAATTAAGGAAGAAAAGAAAGGAAAAGAAACAGATAATCTGTTTTCTCAAAACGATTGAATGATGCTTTATTAGCTATCTGAGAACAGTGCAGGTTTTCCTTTCCTTATATATGCATGCATCAGGCTGTGGTTTACAACAAAGATCCACAGGCAGCAGCATTGCAACAATGTCAAGTTTATGACACCTGTGTCGTGTCATTATCATGCAAAAGATGCAACTTACCCTACTTGTGCCATGATGTCTGATGGAACTAATCACATCATTTGTGTCATGACATCAGATGGACATATCATCATTTCCCTTCTTTCCACAACAGATGCTTATCACGTATCCTTTTAGCTACCAGTCAGAATAGGAGTCTCACTGGTTTCTGTGTGTTTTAAGTGAAACCTCAAAATAGTCTGAACAAGGGAATTTTAGATGTGGAAGAAGTCAAGTGAAACGGTGGGTTCATGTTCCTGCATAAAATATTTAAATTTGGGAAAAACAGGCAGGAGTACACCAGGGACACTGACTGTAGATTTTCTACTAATACCGAGGTCTCCTGTGAATTATTTGTTTATCTTTAAGGATTTTAGTCTTAAGAGGAATGTGAAATAATTTCCATATCTTAAAATGATGTTTCTGTAATCAACACTAATTAAAATTAAGATTACAGCTAATATCTTTTGCCTTTTTCCATTCACTGCTACCCTTCAGCCATCATGAAAGTATATGATGATTTCTTCCTTTACAAGAGTGGGATTTATAGGCATACCATTAGAGAACCACAGTATGAGCACCAGGAGAGACTCCATTCTGTCAAGTTAGTTGGGTAAGTTGAATCCATAGCTGTTTTTCCTTCTTTTCTGTAATACAGGTAGTCCTTGACTTACAACCTTTCATTTAGTGACTGTTTGAAGTTGCAATGGCACTGACAAATGTGGTTTATGACCATTTTTCACACTTACAGTTGTTGTAGCATCCCCATGGTCATGTGATCAGAATGGGCAACTGGCATGTATTTATGACAACTGCAGTGTCCCGGGGTCATGAATCACATTTTGTGACCTTCTGACAAGCAAAGTCAATGGGGAAGTCAGATTCACTTAACAACTGTGTTACTAACTTAACAATTGCAGTGATTCACTTAACAGTGAAACCCATTTAACAACTGTCTTGCTTAGCAACAGAAATTCTGGTCATAAGTCAAGGACTACCTGTATATAACAGGCAGACAATGGATTTTGCACAGGAACATGGAACATTTCCTTCTCTTGATGTTTGAAGGTTAGGGTTAACTGGAGAGAAGCTTTCTTAAGAGGCTAAAATTGACTACAACTATTTAGTGGTCTATATAATGGGATACATCCTGTACAACTGGACTTCAGCCAATGCAACATGTCTTCTCTCACTTTCCTTTCCATTGCAGTCCAGCTGTCAAACTTCATCTACACAATGACATCTCATTATAGGATGGGTAGATTTTTATATGTGAAGCTACAGTGTACAGATTGTGAAAAGTACCTCATGAGATGCATTAAGGCATGGCACAAAGCAAACAGATGTTGTATGCTAAGTTTTACTACTTAAATATGGACTTAGATGAGGAACCCTTTATCAAGAATTGTGCTGCTTGCATGCAGAGCCAGCTATTAGTTGATAATCTGTGTTCTATACTTCTTTCTAGTACCATTTCAATTAGACCAAATTGGCCATTGATATTATTGGATTCATACAACAAGCATATATGCTTGTATAGTTGGTCCTTCTTCTCTTACCTGAAGCCAATTGTGTTGCCATATATAATGACTGATACCAGTTCCATGCAAGACATTTTTGCCCATTTTACTTATCCCTATGATTTCTGATAATACCCAATAATTTGTGAATTCATTTTTTCCCCAGTCTTGTGGCATTAACCATATCCAGCTTCTTCTTACTCAACAGTAATAAGGTGAAGACAGCAGTTCTTTTCACTGCTGTTAAAAAAATAACCCTCAGCAGGCTGCACATTGTTAAGGAGGAACTTGGTAAAGAAGATACTTCAGATTTTAAGAGCATATTCTCCTCCTCCATAGAGCTTCAAAGGCAATTCCTCTCAAGTGGCTTCTTTCGCAAGACATATGTATTAAGCTCTTGTTGAAAGAAAAATCTTCAGCAGGGTCCAGTTCAAGCTGGGAATAATCAAAATGGACACTGCTTTAGAAATAAGGTTGTAGTTTATTGAAGAGGAGAGCCAGACAGAAAGATGGCTCTAGGAAAGCTGACCACATGTAGTAGGGAATGGTGGGTTTTTATACCTTCTTGAGCTTTTGTTTAGAGTTGTTCCTGTGGCATGAACTTTGACCTGAGTCTTAGTGTGCCTTTCTGGTATTCTGATTGTGGTGGGTTAATCCTATTATTTCCCAAAGATCATATCCTGCTTCCCTGGGGCTGTGGCTGATGACTATGTCCTATGTTGGATTTTTTTTAGTGTGAGGGATTGTTGATTCTATGGATCTTTGTCTTTCTAATCCCATCAGCTCTAAGCTTCCAGGTGCCAGTCTTTCTGAAAGGATTATGATATCTGCATTTCTACAGAGCTGGTTTCTGCGTGGGGGAGGGAGACTTGGGGCTATTTAAAAAACTGGGAATGCTTTTCTGCCTTTTTAAGATCCTTTGAGGAAATATAATATTCTGCCCTTTTTAATATTTCCTTCTCTGGGGGGGCTGACTTCCCACACTCTCTTGTCTCTATCTCGAAGTGGTGGTGGAGAATCTAGATCAGAGAATATTCACCTAAACAGGCTGAATGATGGTGAATCATTCTGAATCGTGCTAATTCCAAACACATATTCCTTCCTTTTAATCTTAATTTTCAATTCAGTCAAATACTGTCGTAGAATTTGACCTCTCTTCAATTCTTCTTTATCCCACTGCACAGATTTCTTCAAAGCTTTAACAAGTATCTTTTGTAGAACCAATTAAAAAAAACATTTTCCAGGCCATTCCCTTGGTTTAGCATTTGTATTTCCCTTTTAATTTTTAAAACTTATCCAGAGAGTTTCCAAGGAACTTGTCCTCTCAACAGTTTTTGGTCTGTGTAGCAGTCCTTGACTCTGCTTTTGCATAGGCAGCTTCAGGTTGCTGTACACGTTCTCTGGACATCCTCTGATTAATCAGGCTACTTTAATATTTGTATTTTCTGTACAGGTGTCCTTGGCTTATAATAGTTTGTTTAGTGACCATTCAAAGTTAAAACGGCACTGAAAACCATGTGTCAACGCTGCTAACATTGAATGTTCTTGCTTTGACAACAGATGAAAATGCAGCCATTTTCTCTATACTTTTAGAATTAATTGGTGCTGGGAGCGGGGATTGGAATGAGAGTTCAATTAGTCATAATAATAATAACTCTGCCATGGGAATCCAAGGACAAACTGGGTCCAGAGCTGATAACGTTTTGGCAGGCTGGAGAGCTGGGGAGAAAGCCTGCGCTTCAAGCTAATTGGGGAATGTGATTTATGATTGTTTATTGGGGGAATTGTACTTTGTTACTTTGTATCCAGGGGAGGGGAATTTAGTTTTTGGGTTCAACTATGTAGTGCCGATACTTTCTTTCCCGAATAAAAGATTCTTTAAGGAAAATAATGCCTTGAAGTTCTTTTGAAGGGTTTCATCTGTTGGAACCATGACACCATGACTTATGACCATTTTTCACATTTACAACTATTGCAGTATCCCCATGGTCAGGTGATCAACATTCGGATGCATATTTATGATGGTTGCAGTGTCCTGGGGTCATGTGATCAGCTTTTGCGACCTTCTGACAAGCAAAGTCAATGGGGAAGTCAGATTCACTTAACAACCATGTTACTAACTTAGCAACTGCAGTGATTCACTTAAGAACTGTGGAAAGAAAGGTTGTAAAATGGGATAAAATTCACTTAACAAATGTCTCGCTTAGCAACAGAAATTTTGGGTTCAGTCATGGTCATAATTCAAGGGCTACCTGTATTGCTTTCTATAAAAAGCTGTTATTGCAGAAATTTGCTACTCTGAAATTTAAGGACAAATCCATAGACATTACAGACAAATTTCACATCAACTTCAGCTGGGGATGCCAAAACAATATTCAAATTTCCCGAAGTTGATATTATAATTGATATGATGTAGTGAAACATTATGGCTTTGTTCTGTACTATGTTATTCTTATTCTTAGGATACAGGGAAAAAAATGGGAAATGGTGCTGGTGTAGAAGTAATTGTTCTCTTTAATGATTTTCAGAAGAAAGAGAACTCTGTGGATCATTAAAATATCATTTACATTTTATACACATATTTAAAAGACATTTTCAATGCATTTAAGGCTTATTCAGTTTTTCACTGTGTGGGGCTTTTAAAAATGCAAGAATGTTTCATCCCTCGTGTAAGGAGGAGATATCAATAGCAAAGTTAATGTTCTCTACCTTCTGTAGCAGTTCAAATGCTAATAGACATTAGCCATATGGCAAAGTCTTTTGTGGCCTGAAGCAAGGCAGAAATTTCACTTCATATCCCGTGTTATACACAGATAAGACAAACAAGTAATTAAAAGACATGAATACACAAACACACAATATATTACAAAATTAGAAATAGCTCATAATACATATTCTGTCATCTCTGGTCTACCTGAGATGAAGCAAAAGGGGTCATTCCTTGATTTGAGTTACACAAAGAATTACCTAAATTATTCTGTTATCTGAGGTGGGAACCTCCAGAGATACTTCTCTTCTTGTATAAAAAGTACAATGTTGATAATATTAAATAATTCACAAAAGACTGCCTTTTCTGCTGTTTAAGACAGCCATTGCCTTATTATCAGACGCAAGCAATGGTTCTCAAGCAGAAGCTTTATTATTAGTCACCTATGTTACAAGAATCTCACCAGGCTGACTATATTACCTTGGGAATTGTCAGATTAGGCTTCAAGGATTCTGGGGGAGGTCTGGCTACTGCTGCTTTCTGCAGTGCAAGGACTCTACACTTGGGTCCCGCCCTCCAGTATAGCTGAAGATTCCACCCCTTATTCTTCCTTATAAATTGGACAGCTTTTGTGTGTGAGAGCAACAACACAACTTCTTTTGAAATAGCCTGTTCTTTCCTCTTGTAGAAAATGGTTCTAGCAGTTTGGAGATGCAGCCATTCTAGTGCACCATGAAGTTAAGACTACTGGAGGCCATAAATTCCCACCCTATCCTTTTGTGAAATTGTCTGTCTCTTTATATATCTGTCTGTCTGGTGTGAATGTTGAGAATGGAGATAATGATGGAGAAGAGGTAGCTGCCAAGAGCGGGTTTGTAGGACACTCTTCAAACAGGAGGCTCAGGTTTTATTTATTCTGTTGGATATCGCACATCTCTATTCCTATTTTCTATTTCAAATTCCATGTCGTTTTTGCATTTTCCTACATGAGACATGACTATAGAAAGGGAAATATATTTTTATTCTATCAAGCTCTTGGTTTATTGAGTTTAATACTGCCAGTGCTGACAAGGGTAATTACTAATTTCATCTCAGAATAAAGAATAACACAGTTGGAATGGACCTTGAAGATCTTCTAGTCCAACCCCCTGCTCGAGCAGGAGACCCTATACCAGTGTTTCTCAGCCTTGACAATTTTAAGGCATGTGGACTTCAACTCCCAGAATTCCACAGCCAGCAATGCTGGCTGTGGAATTCTGGGAGTTGAAGTCCACATGCCTTAAAATTGTCAAGGTTGAGAAACACTGCCCTATACCATTCCAGACAAATGGCTTTCTTAAAAGCCTTCAGTGATGAAGGACCCACAACTCCTGAAGGCAACTCTTCCACTGTTTAATTGTTCTCACTGTCAGAACCTCCTTAGTTCTAGGTTGCTTCTCTCCTTGATTAATTTCCATTCGTTAATTCGTGTCTTACCTTTTGATGCTTTGGAGAATAGATTGCCCCCCTCTTCTTTGTGGCAGCTCCTCAAAATTGGAACACTGCTTTTATGTCCCCCACTAGTCCTTCTTTTCACTAGACTAGACATCCCCAATAGGACATCCTGTTACATGTCCTGTTCTGCCTCTGGAATTAGTCCTTGCAGTAGCTTGTCTGATTTAAAAAACATAGTGTCCTTATGATCTGGTCTCTTTTAATAATAAGATAAAATATTAGTTATTAAGTTTTGTAATGAACTAGCTTCAGCAAAAAGCAAGGTGCTCTATGATTTATTTTGTTTTTGTGCTTTATTGTTGGTAATTCTAGCTGGATAGATGCAGTTGTGAGGTTGACTGAGAATACAAATAAGGCCCAGGTTATGCATTCTGATTTCTGTACAGATAGAGCAATATGAAATAAGCCATTGGAAACCACGACTGCACTTACATGGAGCAGAAATCCTTCCAGCCTAATAGATCAAATGAAATTACTTGCACTGCCCACATAGTGCTGGCTACACAAGGCCACCTATTTACTGAAGAAGTGAAGTACGAAGTGTTATTTGCCCATAAACTGAACACCTGGAAACAAATGCTGTTCAATAATGAGTATATTCTGAAATGAAAAGCAAGTAATCGGAAAAAGAGAGTCACTATGTGCTCACAGAATGATGGCAGCATACTCACTTTTGGGAACATAATAAAAAAGGAATTTGAGTAGCAAGATTAAAGATGCCTCCAAGATGTCCAGGGGAAAAATATGTATTACTAATGCTTTCTCTTTGGATAGGTGGGGTATGCTAGAAGATGCAGAAGGACAATGGCAAAAATATTGGGTAAGTGCTTAGAAACAGAGGACTAATCCAGAAAAAGATATTTGTGCTTGTTTGCTTTTGGAATCAATAGAAAAGGTGTTTGTAATTAACAAGCACAATTTTCAGCCAAACATACATACCCAAAGCTACTTTGTAGTGAGGACACAGTCATGTAAATCCCATTTTGATTTAACCTCAATGGTCTGTTTATATTTTATTTATTTACAGTATATTTGTAATTTGAGTAATTTGTATTGAGCTTGCAGTACATACCAAATTTGGGGGCAAAAAGCCATGTTAGTTCTTTTTTTCTCACTAAATTGTTCAATGACTGCAGTTCAATTAAATAAGTGAAAAGTCCACAGAATGTATTGTACATCCCCTCCCAGTTTATAGCTCAAAATACCTATCACATGCAGCTCTGCATTTTTAATTATTCTAAATCAGCTATGGAAGACAGATGGAGAGAAGCTATTTAAGCTTCCCCTTTATTCATTTTCTGGTCAAAATACTCCTTGCATGTTTTTCTTTTTACCCCTGCAGGAAAGGTTGAGGGTCAAAAAAGCACCAAGAACTCTGATTCTGAACTTTCAAACAAACAAACAAACAAACAAACAAACAAACCCAACAACCCAGAATTAAGTGTTAAGTGCTCACTTTTTTTGTGCCCTGATTCATGGTTTTTCTTGACTGATTTTAACCAAAAGGGGCATATTACTGACATCCTTAGAGGGTTTTTTCCCTCAGAGGATCCATTTTGTTAATCCCTTTTTAGTTTAGTTCCTACAACTAAAGTCGCTTTTGATGGAACTGGACTACCAGGGGAAGAATCCTTATTAGCCTAAATTTCCCCCTGCATTAATTTTCCGGAGTGAGCCTCTCTATCCTGTCTTAATAGCACTATTAGGATAAAAGCTAAGTATCAGGGTCAATAAGCACCAGACTTTTACAACAGTTGTTGCTCAAACTCTTTATTCTAAAGAGCTAAAGCAGATTACATATCCTGAAAACAGCACATGTGTCAACCCTAATCCATGCTATTGCCTGGCTTGGTTCTCATAAGCTTTTTAAAAATAACTTTTTAAAAGTTATTTATTATTTTTATGCCCTAACACAGAGCAGGAGGAAAAAAACAAGCACAAAAGAAAAAAAATGGTCAGGTGACTCTAAAACTTTAAAAAAAGATATCATGAACTGATCAGAGTTGTGTCAAATAGCAGCTAACCTCTGTTATTCTGTTAACCTCTTCAGGGAGGTTCACTTTAGGGATATAATTTTAGTAGTCTCTGATTAGACTTTGCCATTTAATCAACTCCAAGGTTCTAACCAGTATTATGCTGCTTGGGGAATTCTGGGAGCTGAAGTCTACAGGTCTTAAATTTGCCAAGTTTGCCTAGAGCAGCATTTTTCAAACTTGACATCTTTAAGATGTGTGGTCTTCAATTCCCAGAATTCCCCAACCAGAAAGCAGTTGCCTAGTTAGAAAAACATTGCTATGGAGCTATTTTGCAGCATTTCCTTTTGCACCATCTTAGCTCTAAAAGAAACAGGGTATAACATGGGACAGGTAGTGGCCAGCCCAGATCATCACACAGACTGTGTGAAGTGCACCCTTGGGAGAAGGATGTGTCTTAAAAACACCTTGTCTAGCCTCATAAGGTCTGGAAAGCATCACAAGATGAATTCTATTTTTATTAGGATTTCAGTTGAGGAGGGAAAGTTTAAACTGTCTCTTCACTCCCTGTTTACTGCATTTACCTTCTAATTGCTAATTATTCATTAGCCTGAGATATAGTTTTATTAGGTCTTCAAGTAACTCTTTAGAAGAAATATTTGGAAGTGACAATCTAACTCAGAGGTGTCAAACTGCCAGCCCGCGGGCCAGACGCGTCATGCGGAAGCGGCGCCCACCCCATTGCCGGCAATGGCAAAACCGTCCTGATACGTTGGGCGATGTCACATGACGTTGCGAGTTTGACATGTCTGATCTAACTGGATGAAGACAAGGCAATGAATACTTTTCCCTGGCCCNGAGCATGTCTTATCATACTGCCCTATGTATAACACAGGCAGAATTAAATTATTGTCTCTCCTTGGAATTGATCCCTCTGGTTCTAATGTTAGTAATTTGGTTTTATATTGTCTAGGGGATGGCTCCTCCTATATTACTTCTCAGGTTTCTAAATTTCTTTTAAGAGCTGTAACTACCAGAGGAGAACGTTGTAATTCCCAAGGCTTCTGGTGTTTAATTGTTTGTGATATATTTTTCTTGTGTTTTCTCTTGTTGCACTTGCATTTTGGTCTGTGACCGCAAAATAAAAATTATTATTATAAGGCAATGAATACCACAGCTCCTCTTTTGCTTTCTTTTTCTTCTCCTTTATCATAATTTGACTGTATTTGCTATAATAAAATATCTTCTCTTCTCCACCCCTAGATTGCTGCAAATTCCTGGGGAATCTCCTGGGGAGAAAACGGCTATTTCAGAATTTTACGAGGACAAAATGAATGTGATGTTGAAAAACTGATCATAGCTACCAAATGTCACCTTTAAAAGATTTTCTTTATGGCCGCTATTTTGTTCTACATATATTTTATACAAATGGCATATATAGCCTCTAACCTCAATATGTGCATTCTTACATTTGTTATTTTCTCTTCACTAAATATTTCTATGTCAGATGTTAAGACTGGGTGAACATTTAACTGTGAGTCCAGCATGGTGAAAAATATTACCTGTTTTAATTTCACTTCTACTGGTATTTAGATGACCTAATTCATAACTGGAACAGTCCAAATGCAGTAAACGAGGAATGAGAACAATTGGACAGGTCTCTTTCTTTTCTTCTGAACTGTGATCAGTCTCAGTCTTGTGAGATTGTATATTTTTAACCACTAGCAACCCTGGGAGAAGTGTGTGTGTGTGTGTGTGTGTGTAATCAGAACTGGCTTGCTTCAAAAAGTACAGATGGACATCAACTATATTTATATTCATATGGCTTTGTATCGTGTCTGACTATGTCTTTCAAAGGAGTTAAGAAAGAGAGGCCTATTGATAGCTACGAATAATCATGACTGGCTGTTTCATTACTGCCTCTGGTTGCTAGAGTATAGTGGTGCAGGAATACTTTCATGCCTTTTTTCTTTTCCCCCCAGAAATATTTTTTATTAACTGTAGAAAGCAGGGGTGGGCAACTATGGCCTCTTTATCATCAGTGGATTTCAACTCCCAGAATTCCTGAGCTGGTTCAGGAATTCTGGAAGTTGAAGTCCACAGGTTGTAAAGGGGCCATAATTGTCCATCCCAGGTATAAAGCAAATAAAAAGAAAACTATAAAACAGTGGTTCCCAACCTTTTCTATACTCTGCACTCCGCAGTGGGCCGTGGAATTGGCTGGCCAGTGTGCTCATGCATGGGTGTGCATTTCCCCCACTCACGCTTCTGATATATTCTCGCACCCCTTACAAAAGTTTGAAATGAATTGTGCATATACACTATAATTTTGGAACTTCTAACCCCAGGTTTTTGCACCCCCTGGAATATCGTCTCACACTCCCAGGGGGTATGAGCACCCCCGGTTGGGAACCCCTGCTATAAAAGAATAAAAAAGGAAGCTAAAGAAAAGAAACAAAAAAATACAGGGCATATATTCATGGATATGTATACATGCATTAAAACTGCACAGTAAATGTTTCAATAAATGGCAACTATAATTTATTACAGTCATACACAGCTAGTCTATACTGATAACCTAGTGGTTCATAAATTGCTAGTGACATCAATTCGGCTGTCTATTGGATAGCCCCATATGTCTATAGGGTCATATGTTTCTTTTTCCAATGCAGTAAGAAGGATATTGGAAAACCACTTTCTCTGTCGAGATGTCAGCGTCCATGTGGTAGGAATAAACTTCAGAAGTATATGAACATCTGAAAATACTGAATCTCAAAACTGAAGTAATCCCTTATTTCCCAAACGGAACAATTGCTGGGCATTTCATTAAATGAAACAATTTTATTGTTTCTCCAACAATGTAATTTTAGGTCCTACTAGCCCACAAAGGTGTTTTTGATTCAGAATTACAAGTACATTTACTGTTTCTAATAAAGCGTCTGGGACTCCATCTCTGAATGGCTGTCCCAGGATGCACTTAATCTGGAACGGCAGCCTGTCCATTCGCAAAATAAAGTACATTCAACTGAGAGAAACAATAAATGTATTAAGATTAAATTGCATCCAGAGGCAAAATTATATATATCTTTAAAATAGCAGCATGCATTCCTTTTCTCTAAAAACCCATTTCCCTTTATGGCAATATTAGCAACTGCACTGAAGTGATTTCTAAACAAACCCTGTAATAAATTTTCCCTTAAATTAATTCAGGACACTTTGGTTAACCAAAAGATTCAAAGATATTTTTTCCATCAAGTTTGCACAGACAGGATCATACACAAGCATATATTTCCTGGACATAAAAATGTCACCCCGCTCTTCCAACGTATACATATATCCCCCAGCCAGGCCTTCACAGGAACACATGCAAAGTAGCTTTTCCTTGAGGGCTTAGAATTGTCCTATTTTAGACTCATCCTGTGAATAGGGAGCAGTTTTAAGCATTATTGCCAGAAGCTAACGGGCAATTATGAAGCTGGTTTATCCCCAGAGAAAGGAAGCCAAATTACTCCATTTGGCAGGCATTGAAGTACTAAAGCTAGGGAGAATGGGCCTTAGATGTCCCAAAGTTGCTTTTCCAAAAGGCAACTGGACTTTCTTGTTTTTTTTTTCTTTGAAAATATTTCCCTTCTCATCCCAGTTCTCATCTCAGAACTGAAGAAACTTCTTTGACGAGAGGTGAAGCATTTTCAGAGAAAAAAACGAGAAAGTCCAGTTACCTTTCGGAAAAGCACCTTTGGGATAGCTAAGGCCCACTCAGAACCTCCATAGACAATGGGCCTTAGACGCCCTTCTACCTCCCCACAAGTGACCTAGAGGATGGAGGTTTAAAGGGGCAGCACTTTAATTTAAAGCGGACCAGGAGAAGTTCAGGGCAGGCGGACAACTTTTGGTATTGCACTGCTGATTCCAGATCAGGGCCTTTCCTGAAAGTTGCACCACTGTTCTTCTCTTTAATCCATAGTTTGTCTTGCCACACTTCACCCTGATGTTATTTCTGAGCTCTTTCTGGAGGTGAACAACTGGTTCCGTCGGGACATACTGATTGCTGGAAGGTAGATTCCGTGGGCATCAGATGAAGGCAGGAAAAACTGTCGTTGGAATTCCTTACCGGGTGCATTTCTGAGCTGGGTTCAAAAAAAACCAGGGAGTTGCATGAAATTAAGTTCTTTATATTTCACTTAGTAACAATGACAGCATTAGATGGGTGGCCACAAAGGACCCTCCATCCCAGTTTATATATATATAGAATACCACCTATACCTCCTATACCATTCTATACCTCCTATAGAATACCACCCCCTTATCTGGTCACTCATTTCCTGTCTCACACCATTCCATATAAGGAACTTCCTTCCTTCTTTCCTTCCTTCCTTCCTTCCTTCCTTCTTTCCTTCCTTCCTTCCTTGCCAGGGCCTCTAAGGTTTCTGAGAATGCAGGTAGTCCTCAACATATGACCACAATTGAGCCCAACATTTCTGTTGTTAAGCAAGGCAATTGTTAAGTGAGTTCTGCCCCATTTTATGACCTTTTTTGCCACATCTGGCTTACCCTCTTGACCTTGCTTGTCAGAAGCCAGCTTGGAAGGTTACAAATGGGGATCACATGACCCCGGGACAATGCAACTGTCATAAATACATGCCAGTTGCCAAGCGGCCAGATTTTGATCACGTGACCCTGATTATTGCCCCATTCTCCAACCTCAGAGAGCCATTGTCAACGCTGCTAATATTGAATATTCTTGCTTTGACAAAATATGCAGAACTGTCTGGTATTTTTAGAGTTAATTCAAATGACAGAGAAAAGGGAGGGGAAATAACAAAAAGCCCGGGAAAAGGAACGGAAGTGAATCTCTGCCCTCTGGGCTAATTGGAAGATGTGACTTGTGACTGCAAGATAAGGGAGGGGTTTAGCAAGAAAAGTTAGATGCCAGCAAGAGGAATTCAGATTCTGGCATAAACCTCCATGATGTGCCGTCAATTTATAACACTGTTAATAAAGGCTTTAGGATAAACATGCCTGGAAGTTCTTTGAAGTGTTTTATTAGTCGGAACCATGACAGCCATTTTCTTTCCCTTTCTCTTTACAGCAGTCCTTTCCTTTCCCTCCCCTTCTTCTCCCCTTCCCTTCTCTTCCCTTTTCTTTTCTCTTTCTCTTCTCTTCTCTTCTCTCCCCTCTCCTCCCCTCCCCTCCCCTTCTCCTTTCCCTTTCCCTTCCTCTTCCCCTTCCCCGTCTCCTTTCCTTTTCCCTTCCTCTTCCTCTTCC